AGCATTTTTAATTTGAGGTAACTGGAGACAATATTTTAAAATTCTCTTTGTGCTTTTTACCAAAAGTAAGCAGGCACAATGGGATACCAATCATTATTAAATACACATTTTTTAAAATAAATAATCTTTTCTGAATTCATGGACAAAAAATTATATTACAGGAACTTCTAATTTGTTCACTTTCTCCATGTATTAATATTTAACAATAAAAAGATAGTCAATCTAATTAAATTTAGGAGTATAAAGTTCACATAAAAAGATATAAAAATACTACAAGAATCATTCAGTATTATGATAGCCACTGTTCTATAACAAAACACCACACAAACACACATACTCTTCATTACTGTGTTGCCCATTTCAAAATACCATTCACTCTTTCTACATCTATTTACTAATACATTGGAAAGAAAAACTGCTTTTTTTTCTACTTACTCATCACCCACTCATCTTCCATCTCTAACAGTCTACTCACAGACTAATCATTCTACTGAAGTTAGCTCTCTAAAAGTATTTAGAAGCAACAGTCTTGTCTTGGTCTTCATGACTCAATTCATCAGCATCACTGAGTCTCCCATCTGCCCCACTAGATCCACTCTCCACCCTTTTCTACCTGCTCTTGGCCCTGGAAGGCTGGCCTTGTGGACCACGGCCACCAGCTTGGCGTCCCTACAACCTGCCTTCCGAATGGTTCACTTAGAGGAGGTTTACACGAAGAAGATCAAAGGAGTGAGGCCAGTATATTTATCCCCACTGCATCTTCTCTGCTAGGTGTCTCTACCACAAACTGCTGTTCCCGGCAGATGGTCGCCTCTCTTAATCTTCCCTCTCTGGGTTCCTGTGACCACTTTGTCCCTTACTCTTTCATGCCTGGGGGTCGTCTGTTTCTTGTCAGGACTCTGTTTAATCCAGGATCCTCTCTGAATTGCTTTTTTTTTTGTCGGTTTCTAGATTGCGCTCTATTCCCATCTAATCCTACCTCCTAGACTAGTCCTTCCTGGGCATTGCTGTTACAGTTCTCTAGCAAACAACATTTTCCTTTGTAGCAATGCTGGATTCTCAGTGCTGACCTTCTTATCTCACTAAAGGACACAGAAAAAATACAGAAAAGCAGGGTTTAGCTATAATTCTTCACAGTCCCCTCCCTGCACAACCACTCTAGGTGGTGTATTTGGTTTTGTTCTTAAAAAATAAAGGTAGTTAACTCGCTCTTGAAGAATCATAAAAGTGACACATTAGCCACAACCAAAAAACAATGCACAAATACATAAAGAAAAAAGATGAATGCTTCTGTATCCTTTCTCTTTAGCTCATTCCCCACCTCCACTGCCCTGCCCCTCAATAAGGAAAGTGAACAGCCTTGCCAGTCTTTTTTCATACCTGCCCATGATAGTTGAACCCATGCCAAACATATAGTCATATATGGAGAGGGATAATACTTGTTTTACAAAAACTGAGAGTGTTCTATATATTACTTTGCAACCCGACAGATATATATCGAGATCAACACTCTGAACACCCTCATATTATACAAGTCTACATACATTCATTTAACCCTTTATTTATTCATGGACATTTACATTTTTTCCAACTGTTTATGCCACTAAAAACAATGCTACAATAAACACCTTCATGCATATATTCTTATGGGTGTATATATGTATGTAAGCTAAATTCCCAACAGTGGGATTGCTGGGACATATTTACATACAGTTTTATGACACTGTTGCTTTCTCAAAAGTGCATAGCAACATACTTCCTGTCAATTTTATACCTACATTTGCTCATATGGGTATAATATGCAATTTTGAGTCCAACTTTCCCTCTTAACGTTAATTTTAGATAACTTTCTATACACTGCATACTTTTGGTAGCAATCTTAAGTGGCTGCATATGTCCATTAATGTTGTGAGGCTTCTTTAAAATTTTACTGGAATTACATTAAACCTCAATATTAATATGAGAAGAGTTTACATCTACTCCCCATAATGCATGTCCAGAGAGAAATTAAAATTCTGACAGTAGCATTAGAAACAATAAAATCTATCACATGTATACCTCTACACCTTTAATCAGTTTTCATTAATTATATCTTTTGAGGGCACATAATTGACCAAATGATTCTCAATATCAAGAAGAATTATGCCTAGGGCATATGCTTCCATGATAATCTCAGTGACCTCAATTAAAGGAAAGTGATCATGAGATTACTCAAGAGCACACTAAATAGACTGGACATTTCCTGAGTATGGTGAGCCAAGTTCTATCTGACTCTTCTGGCATTGAAAAGGTCTACTTTGGACTAAAGGTAAAGGAAAGTGAGCAAAATAGAAAGGAATTCTGGCACTAAGCTCCAAGGATACTGCTATGTAGGTTAGTACAACCAGAGTCCCTCAAGATTTGAGGAAACGCCACACTCCACAAAGGCTTGGGAACATCCTACAGCAGTCTCCGTCCTCAAAATAAAATATTACAAAATCAGATCCCAGGCTGGTAGAGGGAGGAGTCATGAGAAGACAAACCTGGTGACCATGTATTGTTTGTATAATCTCTATTCAATTGTAACACCACCAGGTAAGCGATTCCTGTGAACAGTTCTTGAAATGAAAAAGTTAGGAAATTTTTAAAAACCAATAGATGGTGGATCAATAGCTTCTGTGACACTTTTATGCTACTTCCTGTATGGATGCTAATGTTGGCTTTAACTGCTGGGTCTTGTAAGAAGAAGATTTCACTGTTTCCTGAGAGTTACTACTTGCCTGTACACTAAAGAGTCTTCCAACTGGAAACAAATCTGATTACTTTTGCTAGACTTAATCTCTTACTTAAGCAGTTTAACGAGAACTTTCGATAATCTTAGTCACATCACTTCAATAAAATACCTAGATGTTATTTCCACAGGAAATGAATGTCCACAGACCATAAACTCTACCTGGCTAATAGCTAACATGGGAGGAAAGGTGGGAGTTGGATTCAGATAAACAGCCACTGTATGGTGACGGTAAATGAATTATTCATCCCTCCTTCTGGGCTGCTGGCGGTAGTCTGAGGCCTCTGCTGGGAATGGGTGGGAGGAGAAATAAAGGGAAAGACAAAGATAGCTGGCAGCAGGAAAATTCTCCCTGTATGGGCCCACAGCTGCAGGAAGTCACCAAAGGATCCAGAATATAAAGTAGATTCAGCTATAGAAAAGGGAAAGTAAAGAGAGTAAAGGGGACAAGATACACAAGATACAGCACAAAGATACCATTTGGAGAATTCCCTCCCTCATGCCTTTCAAAGAAGGGCCACTAAGAGACAATGTTTGATTGCCCCAGGGAAGGTCTCCGCATAACAGAAGTTGTCCATGTCAGAAAAAAAGTCCTCTCCCACTCCTCTCCTTCCCCTTTCCAACCCCTTCATTTACAAGGTTAGAAGCACAGGAAGTCACCCCGTCAGGAATTTCCACCATTCTTATGATTGGCTCCTGAAAGTGCTGCTGAGGATGCCAGTGGAAGGCTGAGGTTAAGGTAAAGGGAATAGTTATGAACACCTGCTTAGAGAAACTAAGGGAAAGTGATCATCCATTCAAGTTGTTCCTCAGTGGGCTCATGGTGAATCATCAATGGAAACTGAATGTTCTCTGTGTGCCTGCCTTGACCCAGATATAGTAGAGTTTTTATAATATTTTTCGTATAGAAAAAGGACAACAAAATAAGAATATGATCCTAAATCAGGGGAAAAAAGGATTTTCTAGAGATCAACATATTTAATGCACAGTTGCTAGACTGGGGAAGTGGCATACAATTCTAGAATCTGGAGCGATTTCTAAAAAGAGCCTTTGGAATTAAGGTAGTTGTTCCACACCCATATCTCCAGAAGTCTCTCACCTAATAATTCCAGAGAGCCTCCTCACCAAGTATGCCCAAGTCCCCAGCATCCACAGGGAGACTTTTCATCACTAGGGTTCTATGATACATGACATAAAATCTGTGACTTTTCTGGTGAAGCAGATTGGTTATGACAGTAGCAAGTCTTACCCAACTAAGATTGACATATTGCAAAACAAGATGAAAAGCATCTACCACATTAAAAAAAAAAAAATGCACCCCCTGGATCAGTGATTTTGAGAAATTGATTAAATGTCACAAATTCAAAATAATCAGAAAAGCTTTTGAAACTCCTCTTTTCCTCGATAGACATTTTTATCTTTAAAATTGTGCATGATGTTTCCTTTAATTTTTAAGAGACCATATATCATATTACAAACTATTCCCTAGACAAAGCATTGACCGCATGCTGTTGAAGGATCACTGAAAAGAACATATTACCTACACAATGACATACAAAACCTTGAGCATCTGGTCACACTAGCCTAGGAAATGTCATGAATACAGGAGTGGCACTTCTTATACACTGTTCTTTTCAGTTTTATTGAAGCCCCGAAATTATTTTCATGTAAAATTTTAAGTTGCAGAAAGTACACAAGTGAAATGGGCTCTTTAGCACCTTTGATATAAGAAATTATGCTGAACCAATAACAGAAGTAACGCATAAGGAAAACATAACTTCAGAGGAAATAATTGCCTCATATTATTTGGGGAATTAAAAAATAGAGCAAAAGAAAGAAAATCTGAACCAAGTTTCTTCCAATTAGACTAAATTCTTCTGGAAAAAAGAAATGTTTTTGTCATAAAATAATGACACTTACAGAGGTGATTACTAAAAACAAAGAATCTCTAGCTGCAGACAGATGAGCAAAGATAGTGTGCTTTTGTGTTTCTACTTAGAGAATCCCTAGAACAACTACAGCATCAGAAACAGCAGAATTTAGGTCAAGGGGCCAATTATCCAGTACAAGCATCAAAGGCAGGGACAAGTTGCTACTTCTCTCTGCCTGCTCCCGTTTCCTTTGAGAGTCCCTATGTGAGGCAACCATATAGTCTCTAAATAGCACCCGCAGATTGATAGTTATTGAATCACCCAAGAACAAACTTAAAGCATCTTAAACAAGGACTAACCTGGAGGTGACTGGTGCTGGGGCCGAGCTGTGGTCTTCCCTGACCTTGAGCTCTTTTCCAAAGGTTGGCCTGCTCTGAGGGAGGCCGAGCTGGCTCCTTTGGTCTCCGTGACCTTTGCAGAGGCTGGGGGCTCCAAGGTGTCAGCAGAGGGGGACCCAGAGAGGACACAGTTCTTTCTACCAGGAGAGTCATTAACAGCAGCTTCCCTCTCACCAGGTAGTGGAGAGAGCCGGAGGATCCTGTGATGCTGCTGAGGGCTGGGGATCCTTGGAGATAGGGGTGAGGAAACAGGTGATGCCCGTTTGCGTGTGCTGGACTGAAGAGATGAATTATTAAATACCATGCTGAGAGCTGCCGGGGCTGGGGGAGAAGGCCTCTTCTTATCTCCTCTGGGTTGTGAGGAGCCAGGACTTACACCATGGGGCAGATCCAGAAACAAGGACTTGTGGCTACTCAGGGGAGGCCCAGACTTCCTCTTGCCTCTTGTTTCCCGGAGGGCATGGGGGGCTCTCGTGCTGAGGGGGAAGCCCAGCCTTTTCCCCTCAGTGGTTTCATCTAATTTCTCACTCTCTATCACCTTCAGGAGAACCTTGTTCACAGCCCCCTCAGTGCCGGACAACGTACTAGAAATGGAGGCTGTTTCCCTGGCCAACGATTGCAATGATCTGTCCCCTTGCTGCTCCTTACCCCGCCGCCTGGAACCACAAGCCCCAGCCTCAGTTTCTGGGAGGGAAAACAAGTCAGCTTTGGGAAAAAACTCACTTTGGGCTGGTGGGCAGATGGCAATCCCCTCCACCCCCTTAGGATGTGTTTTCACAACTCTTTGTACCTGAGAGGACAGATCCTGGACTTTGGCCACCACCTCAGAGACATGTTTCTTCTTGCAAGTTCTCTCAGTCGACTTCTCTGTCCTGTCTCTCTCTGCCTCTGGATGCTTCTCGGGATCCTGGCGACTTTCAGGAAAGTCTGTCTGCTGATGCCTCAGTCTGCTTGGTGGCCCCTGAAGGCCATCATCTCCTGCCTCTGTGGAGGTACAGTCAGGGAGCAGCACTCCTCTTCCAAGCCTAGTGTCCTCAGATGCTGTTTCATGGCTCCCAAAGCCAAGGTCTCTGTCTGGTGTCCTGGAGATATCTGGGGGGCAGCTCTCTCTCCTCTGCAAGGAAGAGGCAAGTGCCCCATTGGGGAGCAAGTTTCCCCTCTCCTCTAGTAGCCAAAGATTAGGCCTTGTTCTAGAAAGAGGAAGGGAGTTGCTAGAGCATATCTGGTCCTTGCTCATCTGGAGAGCTGGTTCCCGGACCCCACGCCCTTTTCTTCTTGTCTTCTTCTGTGGGAGAGCCCCAGTGCTCTCTCTCCTTCCACCAAACCTCCGGGGCTTTTTGTTCCCGTGGGTGCTCCTCTTATTTAGAGAGCCCACGGGGAGCTCTCCCCACCAGTCACCAGCATTCTGGAAACAGTCATCCTCCGAGGCCAGGCTCACGGACAGCTCCCGCAGCTTCCCTTCCTGGCTCCCCATCGTAACCCCCAGGATGTGGTCTGAGCTCAGCAGATTGGCCAGCAGTCTCTCCCTCTCTGTTGTGAGTTTGTACAGCTCGGTTAGAATGTCTTTCGTGGGAGTCTGCTTGAAAAATATGTCGCCTGGATGTTCGTCCGGCTCCTGGCTGAGGCTGATGATGTCTGGCCCCTCCCTGACTTGGTAGCAGCTATGAAAACCTTTATTGGATCGGTCTAGAGTTACAGTGCCCTTGTATGAAAATCCTCTGACTTCCCCCTTTGGAAGACAGAAGCTGATGTAGCAGAGTTCAGTAATGGGCTTATGCAATCGTAGGGTGCAATGAGTGCCTTCCATTATGCCTACCTAATTATTCATGCCTTGAAGATACTGCTCTGTGGTCAGGCTTCCCAGGCTCCAGTGGTGAGGCATGTGATGGTGGCTACGCAGAGAAAGCAGCTGACAGTCATCTCCAGGAGTGAGACTGCCTGTTAGAGGAACAGGGAAGAAAGCAGCTTGTCTAGCAGAGTGCATAAATCACACACCAACATAAATCAAAGCATAACCATGAATTATCCTTTCTCTCTGGCTGACCTCAACAACACAAGGCATCATCCAACAGCCTGACCTCAACTCCTTCCCCACTCCTACCCCACTCTGAATAGTAGAGCTTTTCCACAACTAAGAGGTGGGAGAGAATTTTAGCCACAGGACAAAAGTCCTCTTTCCGTAAATGGGAACTCGCTGTGCAACCTAGATCGAGTCTTTCAACTTCTTCAGGCCTCAATTTATGTTCTATAAAACAGAGCTGTCAAAACTCTCAGAAATCCTGACTTGAGGAGGCTTGGAGATCCTTAGAAAACATAGCTGTTTAAATAACTCATGTTTGGATTACTTTGCAAAGAATTAAATTAAAGTCTTTAGACTCTCCAAAAAGCACCAATATTTGAGATTAATTATCTATTTAAAGCTGGGCTCGGTGGCTCAGCCTGTAATCCTGTGCCTTTGGGAGGCTGAGGTGAGTGGATTGCCTGAGCCCGCGGGTTCGAGACCCACCTGGGCAGCGAGACCTCATCTCTCCAATAAATCAAAAAATCAGCTGGGCGTGGTAGCGCATGCCTGTAATTCTGGCTACTTGGAAGGCTGAGGAGGAAGGATCAATGGAGCCCAGCAGGTCGAGGCTGCGGTGGCCGGGAGCGGCCACTGCACTCCAGTCTGGGCGACAGAGTGAGACTCCAACTCAAAAAAAAAAAATTAAATTAAATTAAATTAAATTAAATTAAAAAAAATTATCTATTTAACTTAAGGCACAGTGTGAGGGAAAAGTTTCAGGCCAAAAATTTGGAGTCAAAGGTGAACATTTAAATTTAAAAGTTTGAAGTTTGAATAAGCAACTCAGGAATCTTAATCAATTTTTTTTCATTAATACTGTCTTCTTTTTCCCACTTGTTGCCTATTTGAGGCCAAATGGAATAGTAGAGAAAAAGCAAAAAATTGGTAAGCTATTTCTGGCCCTATGTGGATTTTCAATGACTTCACCACAGAAGTGGCTGAAATGTCACATAAATAGTGAAGGTCGTTGCTTCCTTGTGTAATTTGAGGAATCTTAGAAATGTCTCTGTAACTAACATTCCCCCACACAAATGTGGGGCTCAGAGTTTCATATTATATATATATTTTTATTTCTTAAGTTAAGATATTGCCCAGTCTTCCAAGTCTTCCTTACTTAAAAGAAACCCTCTTGGAAATGATAATAACTATCTATTAACCATTGATGTTTTCAGCAAATTACTTTCCTCATTTTTTTCCTAGCTGGTTCCAAATAGGAAAAAAGCTACCTAAAAGTAAAATTCGAGTGAAAGAAGAGAGAAAGGAGGAAAAGTTTTGTCACAAAACTCCTTGAAGAAAACTCCTTTAAGAGTAATTAAATGAAGGTAAAAAATAATGCAGACATCTGGTCAACCCAGAAGTGACAGGCCTTGAGTATTCATAGACAGGGCTAGAAGGGCACTGAGAAGGGAATCACAGAAGAGATGACAGGCCAGGAGAGAAATACTTTCACAATTGTATATGGGACTATTTTCATCCAAGTAATTATGTTTTAAACCCTTTCTAAAATACTTATTGCTGGCATTTCCTAAAGATGCACAGATGTATTGATACCTAATAATTACTGGTACAAACTTCCTGTATATGTCCAAGAATCCACTTGGGGGCTGGTCTTTTATTGTGTGGCTTACAATAATCAATAATAAAAGCAACTGAAATATCCACAATATCCACTGTGCACAATGCTAAGCACTAAGCATTAAGAGTTCAATTTATGAATTCTCAGAGAAGTTGGAGAGAAGCAAGAGATGTGCTATTTTGAGCTGTGGAAAAATGGGATGCTCTCCTCTATCTTTAAGCATTATTCTGTTTTAGCTTCTCTTATCACCTCAATTTTCTAGGATTAGGAGAAGTGTGTGATGTTGGGGGAGAAGTGTTGAAAACTTTCAGATTCTGTTCAAAGTAGAAGCACAGATAGGCTTTCAGACAAGATGGTGATAGAACAGGTTGGACTGTGAGAGTCTCCACCAAAGCAAGTGTCCATAAAGACTCTCTGTGTGAGTGAGTGTGTGCCAGTGTGTCCATCTGAAGGGAGACTTGGGTTCATGCACCTGGGGTTCTCCTCAGGAGGTGACTGCAACTCCCTACCACCCTGAGATTGGAGATCCAGGCTTGCAGGATTGTCTGCTGTTCTTGGGGCTCTTGAGAGAAGGCAGCAGAGAACAGCCACCCCTCAGCACCGGCACCTGCAGCAGTAGACCTGGCATAAGAAGGCAGGTAGTGGAAATCTGGAATTAGTCTCCAACACTGGTACGGGACCCACCAGGCACCATCTTCTCAGTCCCAGACTGAACAGAAGCTTGCATTGCCCTACCCAACTCCACTCAGCCTCCTTCTTGAGACCCAGAGGTTATTATCTCATCAGACTCAGAGAGACAGATGCCCCTCTCCCAGGCGATGGAACAGGTACAGACATGTCAAACCTGAGTGGGAGACTGGACAGCAGCAGTGAGTAGGGTGAATCCAGAGCAGATCCATCTTCCTCCCACAGTAGTCCATAGGACATGTGACCCACACTGAGAACAACCCTATCAGCCTGTGCTGAGAGTGGAGGGGAGGGGCTGGAGACCAGAGTTGCTCCCTAAAGCAGAGGCCTGAAAGGAACCTGGACTCACAGAAACTTTTTATAGTTTGATTTTTGCTTTAGTTTTAGCTTTTTTCCTTCTTTCTGTTTTTGTTTCAGTTTTTATACTTCTTTGTTTCTGTTATTTTATTTTATTTTTTTAGATTTTATGTTTATGTATAGGTATTTTTGAGGGAGAGTACACTAATAGGGTTTTTTAAAAATTTGTTTGTTTGTATGATTGTTTGCATGTTTTCTCTTTTTTTTCCTTTGTCTTTCTGTTTATTAATTACTTGGTACATCTGTGTGTTTTCCCTCTTCTTCTTCTCTCTCTCAATCTCCCTTTCATCTTCCTCTTTCCTTTTTCCATTATTTTCCCTTTTCTTATCTCATTTAGCTTTCTAGGGGCAAACAGACACCCCCACCGCATGGGCAGATTGTAAGGCAGTGGGACATGAGTTCTGGGGGGCCTTCACACCTGTCTGTGGCTACTGGAAGCTTCAGATAGCTTCTGAATCACAGCTCTCCCCAATTAACTCTAAAAACTACAAAAAGCACAGGCCCATATCCCTAATTCAGCTTCAGAATTGAACAAAACCAGAGGATCTACATAAGTAAGAATAGGAGATTGAGCAAACAGAAATAAAAGCTATACCCCATCACTGAACAACAGAATTAAAGAAGAGGTTAAAAAGTGGGGGAGGAAAATGTACACAAATAAAGAAAAATCAGAGGAAGAATATGAATCTCACACAGATGCCTGGGAAGTCAGTCACTGAGAATAAAGAGTCCGGAACTCAAAAAATAAAGAGCCCCCATAATGATGGATCCCAAACCACAAACAGATATCAAGATATTAATAGAGAAAATAAATAGAATTGAGGACAGACAAGAAGAAAGAATGAAAGTGTTGATAACTGAGATAACCACAATAAAGAATACAGTGAATGAAATAAACAACAAACTGATAAGCATGGAAAGCAGAATTAGCCAAGCAGAAGAAAGAATCTCAGAGCTTGAGAACCAAAATATGGAACTAACCCAGACTACTTAAAACATAGAAAAGAAGTTTAAAAAGACAGAACAAAGCCTCCAAGAAATGAGTGGTTATTTCAAGAGGCCAAACCTAAGATTAATTTGAATCCCTGAAGCAGACAGAGAGACAGACACCACATTGGAACAAACATTCTATGAAATTATCCAAGAAAACTTCCCTCATCTCATCGGTGATGTGATCATTCAAACACAAGAAATTCAGAGAATCCCTGCAAAACAAAAAATGAGAAGACAAACTCCTAGACACATAGTAATTCACCTACACAAAGTAGGTATAAAAGAAAAAACCTAAAGGCAGCAAGAGAGAAAGGTCAGACTACCTAACACGAAAGACCAATTAGAATAGTAGCAGACTTATCTACAGAAACACTTCAGGCTAGGAGAGCTTGGAGCTCAATCTTCAAAGTTCTCAGAGATAAACAATTTCAGCCAAGAATTATGTACCCAGCTAAGCTAAGCTTCATCAGTGATGGAGAATTAAAATCCTTCCCATACATTCAAACCTAAGAGTTTATGCTGCTTCCAGAGCAGTTCTATGAGAAACACTTAAAGTATTAAACACAGAAGGAAAAAAGAATGACAATGCCCTTCATAAGAATGCAGGAAAAAGATTAAAAAACACATGAATCAACCCAAAAAATCAAAAGAAAGACAACAAACAAATAAACAAACAGCAGCAACAACAATAAACTCTATAAGAACCTCATGACAGGGATAAACACTAACATCGCAATAATTAGCCTGAATGTGAATAGACTAAATGCATCACTGAAAAGACACACAATGGTAAATTGGATAAAATATCATGAGGCTACAATGTATTGTCTCCAAGAGACTCATCTCACCAGAAAGAACATTCACAGACTCAAAGTAGGAGGATCAGAAACAGAATTTCAGATGAACAGAACACAAAAGAAAGCAGGAATCACAATATAAATATCAGATAAAATACCCTTTAAGGTATCAAAAATTTAAAAAGATATGGAAGTTCACTACATAAAGGTAAAAGGTTCAATCCATCAACAAAAATATTCATCCTAAACATATATGCACCCAACACAGGAGCACCAACTTTCATAAAGCAGCTTCTAGGTAAACTAAAAAAAGATATTGACTCTAACACTATCAT